GTCCTCCACAACTAGACTGAAGAACAAAAGGACAGCAACTTGTCTGTTCCCCTCCCCCAATTCCCCAGCGCTGTTCCCCTCCCCCAATTTCTCAATAAAATCTTTTAAAAAAAAGTTTGTTCCTTCTTATACTGAGTAGTATTACCATGGTATGGATATACCACATTTTGTTTAAACATTCATCCATCGAAGAGCATTTGGATTGTTTCATGTTTTTGGCTATTACAAATAAAGCTGCTATGAACATCTGTATACATGTTTTTGTGTGGACATATTTTTTTGTTTCTGAAGTACTTTTTGAGCAAATAAATTGGTGTACTTTGTCTACCTCTGAAGGAAATGAGTAAACTATAAAGTCTTAACTTAGAAATGAACAAATTCCTTAAAAATATAACTTACCAAAACAGATACAAAATGAGAGGGAAATTGAAATAACTCATATTATAGCAATCTATTGTCACGTAACAAAACTTAACACAACAAAATGATGTCACACTTTCTGTAGGTCAGGAATCTGCATGTGACTAAGATGGTATCTGGGAGGATTTTTTTAGAGGTGAGAACCAGGAAAACATTAGTATACTGAAGAAAGTAGGCTCAAATATGCAGGAGAGAGAGAGAGGAGGTAATTGGGTGAGCAGAGTCCTTTACTAGGCTGGAGAAGGGATTCACTGCACCGATGATTCATTTAATAGGTACTGATAAATTGGGGTGGTTGGTACATTTGGAGGGTGGACTCAAGTGCATGTCTCTTTTGATTGCTTCTATTTTTCAGGTGAAATAAGAATCAAAATCATACGCTGAGCCAGGAGAGGGACAGGAGTGTTGAAGATCTGAGAAAAGAGATGTGAATTGCCTCTCTTAGAGAGTGGGAAAAACTAGGATTGTTAGGCAGTATGGAGAGCCCCCCTGAGGATTGCAGGCTTAAAGTGAATTTGGAAGGACAAGAAATCACCATGGATGAAGGCCCCTACTTCAGAAGACCCTATTTATCTAGTATTTATTTAACATATCTATGGGGACTCTCCTATACAGAGGCACTGTTGCTGGGTGCTGGCTTGTCTCTTAAAGCAGATCACAAGCATATTCAAGTCAGCTGTTCATGCAAACAAAAATACAGAAAGTCACCATAGAATCTCTAATGAATCTTTCTTAAATTTTGGGAAATGGAGGGTGTGTGTATCGGGGGGGTGGGGTTCTGACTCTGGATAGCCTAAACAACAACTCTGAAAAATAGCACATGTACAAATTTGAAGATAATTGCAAGTGGTCATAGAACCACAAATTAGAATCGCTCCCTTAAATTAAGAACCTTGTATTAAACTGTATAGTGTTTTAGTATATTTTGAATGATTCAATTTACAATAAACTTTCTGTCAGTTCATGGTTGTGTTGAACACCTCAATAAGGACTCAGAATTTGAAATCATTTTAGGTTTAAAAAAAGTTGTAAAAATAGTATAGAGTTCCCCTATACTCTTTACCCAGAATCCCCAAAATGTAACATAACTGTAGTACAATTATCAAAACTATTGATACAATATAATTATTAGTTAATAGGCCTTATCCAAATTTCGTCACTTGTCCCATTCATGTTCTTTTTCTGTTCTAGGGTCCAACCCAGGATTTCACATTGTGTTTAGTTACAGACCTGGCTTTTCTTTTTAAATTTTAATCCAAGGGTTTTGTGTTCTTGGGCCAAGTATTTAAAGTCTCTGATACGGTCTTAATAGACGTAATGTAATTAAAAACCAATTAAAAATGCGTGTGTGGGCCGGCCGAGTGGCGCAATGGTTGGGAACTGGCTTGGGATGCCAGAGGGCCCCGGTTCGGATCCCACATATGAGGGCCAGTGACACTGCCCTCCACAGCTAAGATGCTGGACAACAGCTCAACCTGGAGCTGGGCTGCCGTGAGTCGCCGGCGACGGCATAGGCTGCAGCCCCTGTGGCAGTGTGTTGCCATGGGCTACCGTATGTAGCCAGCAGCCAGCGTGAGCGGCCAGCAGCCGCAGTGAGCGGCCGTCCAGAAGCCGGCGACTGATCTGCCTCGCCCGGGAAGAGCGCAATGATGGTGCCAACTTGGGCCAGTGAAGCAATGTCCTCCACAACTAGACTGAAGAACAAAACAACAGCAACTTGTCTGTTCCCCTTCCCCCAATTCCCCAGCACTGTTCCCATCCCCCTAATACCCCAATAAAAAAAAAATCTTTTAAAAAAAAATGCGTGTGTAATGATTTCGGAAACTTCAAAAGTAAAAATAATTTTTTCTTATTGCTCAAAGCTAGGCATACACAATGTAACTTTTCGGTTAGCTAAAAACAAAGCAAATGGAAGCGTATTACTATAGAGGTATTCTGACCCCAAATGGGGCCCGTAGCTCCTCCCTTGGTCACCTGAGAACGCTTACTCTAATTGGATGGCGTCTGTCTGCCCTGACACAGGAAGGCCGTCCCATTGGTCCGCGCAGTCGGGACTTCGGCGGATTCTCTCTTAGGGCTCAAGGCGCCGATCCACTTCTTTTCCTCCGAGCGAGCGCTCTTTCTTCCAAAGTGCCGGAGCTGCCAGCCCGAAGGGTCCGGACCGAGCTAAGCTGGGTAACTGCACTGAGGTCAGTCGGGAAGAAGCGGCGGGCAGCGAATACGGGGGGTGGGCGAGCCCGCCTTGCCCGCGCGCCCCTTCGACCCTTGTTATCTCCGCGATCTCCCAGCCCTGCCTCCTCCGCTGGCTCCACCTTCGTTGGGCTCTCCCACCAAGCTTGCTCGCACCCTTCCGCCGCCCTTCCTCCGGCCCCTCCCTCCTCAGCGGCCCCCGCTCTCCCGCAAACACTTTTGCGGACCCGCCCCCAGTGCGCTCACTGCAGCGGCCTCGCCCCCCCCCACCCCGGGAGCCTCTCGGCTGGCTCTGCCCTCACCCGCCACTCTCCCACCCAGTCGCTCTCTGCCCGCCGTGCACCGCTTTGGCCCTTCCACGCCTCTTTAAGTTTGGTCCTGCTACCCCTCCTGGCACGTCCTCTTTTTTTCTTAACCCTGCCTCTTGTGCACCCCTCTCCCTGCCTGACTACGGGGTCCCCACATGCCCCCACCGATCCGGGCTCTCTCCATATGGCTTAACAAATTGTCCAGAGGCCTGATGCTGGGCATTGGAGGTCCCTGCTTGTAGAGCAGCTCCCTGCCCCGTGGGAGAGTCACTTCGTAACGCAGTGTAAGCGGGCCCAGTGTTAAGTTTTTAGTGACGGAAGCACAGTATTGCTAGGCTTAGTGGAAAGAGTGCTAGTGTTCACCGTCCCTGCTGGATCCGCAAGCAGGCCCGAGAGGGGCTAAGCTGTGTGTGCCTGTCTCCCTAAATGCCCCAGGGTCCTTCTGTTGCAGAACCTTGGCTCTAACCGTTGTCCTCGAAACTCTTGGAAGTTAGTAAAATCTTGTCACGAGCCCTTCTTTTAACCAAAATTGGTAGGGTTTCAGAACCATCCATCCAAACCCTCAGTGTGCTGACTGAGTTGAAAGGCAAACGACAGAGGAGTGATTGACTTAGTGACTCAGCATCATCCTCTTGGTGCTTCTTTTTGGAGTTTTTCCTGAGGATTCTTACCCAGTTTTTCAATTACCCAGCAGTCTTAGTTGATAGGAAAACCTAAATGTTTGTGTCGATAAAACCTGCAGCCACTAAGTAGATTCCTCCAAGCCTCCGCCCTAGTACAGTGTCTCTTATTCAGAGGACAGTGACTGACACCTTCAGTCTTTTGTCGTCAGGCATCCCTGGGGTGTGACCCCAGCTCCACCGTTTGCTGTAAAGTTTGGCAAAGAAACTTCCCTTGTCCGACTCAGATTTATCGTCTACAAAAGCAGCGTGATCAACTCTATCACCCAGGGTCGTGGTATAGATATGTTGAGATCCTGCTTATGAAAAAAATGACTTTCAGGGTCCTGTAAATAGTAGGATCTCAGCACAAGTGAACTATTCTTCAGAGTCAAGCCTGTCTGGGTCAAGCGAGCAAAGAGCCTAATGTGTTGTCCTCTCCCAGGCACCATGACGACCCTGGATGATAAGTTGCTGGGGGAGAAGCTGCAGTACTATTACAGCAGCAGTGAGGATGAGGACAGCGACCACGAGGACAAGGACAGAAGCAGGGGTGCCCTGGCCGGTAGCTCCATACCTGCAGACGCTGAGTTGGCAGGCGAAGGCATCTCAGTTAACACAGGTACTGGAAATCCCTGAGCTCTGGGAACAGGTTTTAAAAAGGCCCATTAAATATGTATCAATTAGAAGTCTGATTGCTTCCAGAGATAAGCCGGTGTTGTCCCTTCACTGCACAATATAAATACATATGCATAGCAGCATGGTAAGGAACACAGACTGGCCTGGGTTTGAATCCAGCGTATCAAATTAGTAGTTGTTTGGTGTCACATAAATCATAGGTATGGGTATATTAGTAGTATAAATTCCTAGAAATGGTATATTTACATTTTAGTAATTCCAAATTGCTACCAAGTTGAGGTGGTACTCTTTTATAGTTTAACCAGCAGTACAATATTTCTCCGTACACTTGCTCTCCTGTATTATCACGCGTTTTATCTATCTATCTATCTATCTATTTATTTATTTATTTATTTATTTATTTTTAATTGGGGAACAGCTGTGGTCATTGGGTATATATTGCTTTCATGCTACAATGCCATAGTTGACTTTTAAGGAGGACGCAGCTTACAATGGCCCATGCGGGGATTGAACTGGCAACCTTGGTGTTAGCAGCACCACGCTGTAACCAACTGAGCTAACCAGTCACCCCTTATCACACTTTTTGATCTTTACCATCCCAGTAGATGACAAATGATAACTCGTGGTACTTTTATTTTCTCTCTTTTAAGAGTGATGTTGAGCCTCTTTTCATAACTTGAAGAGATATTTTCATACCCTTTGCTCATTTTTAAATTGGTGGGTGGGCTTTTTCTTCTTAGGGAGCTATATATTAAGGAAATTATTCTGTGGTATGAGTTGTAAATATTTCTACCCACTTGTTTGTTTTTTGATTTTATGTTCTTTTCCTGGCAAATTTTATTTACTTATTTACAGTATTCATTTTATTTTAAGTCTGGCCGAAGAACTTTGTTACATACTTCTTGGCTTTCTCTCTTAGTGAACTGCCTTTTTAAAGCTTACATCCAAATACATCCAGGAATCTTTCGACTTATTTTGGACATCTTTTTTTGTTACTGTGATCTTTATTGTCCTAAAAATGTCAACATACAGAGGTTTAAAGTCTTTCTTTGAGCAGGTCTCTGAGATGAGTTTTGTACGGCCTCTCCTACCCTACCCCCACTGTTCCCTGCTGCCTGGTCTTCCACAGGTAACCTGTCACCTCTACCAAACTTGTTACCTCACCAGGTATTCCCAGATACCTGCTCACTTACTTTCATCAGAGCCAAGGTTATCCTTGCAATTTTCTTGTACTTAAAGCATTATTTTATAGTTTCTTAATTTGGTTTAAAAGGTCTTTCTTCACTCCAGGATTATAAAAAATTCTCCCATGCTTTTTGTTAGTATTTTTCTGATTTCACATTTTTTACACTTAAATATTCACCCATTGATTTGTCTTTTACTGTCCTATCACTGTTTTTTTTTGTTTGGTTTTTTTTTTTAGCTGAGCCATCCTGCTACCTGTTGGCAGCTCAGCGGCTGCTCAGCTTGGGCCGGGCATCGAACCGCTGTTGCTCAGAGCTCAAACTCTTGAGCGAGCTCTTAACAAACTGAGCCACTCGGCCGGCCCTCCTATCACTGTTTTTAATTATTGTGTTATAACACATTTTAGTATCTGGTAGGGCTAGTTCCCCACTCAGTATTCTTCTGTGTCATTATTTCCCTAACTTTTCCTTTCTTATTTTTCCAAAGCAGTTTTAGGAGTATACACACTTATGCATAATCACGTGTTTTCATTGGGAATGCATTAAATATATGTTAATTTAGGGATAATTGGCACCCTTGTGTGATGTTGGGTCATGCTAGTCAGTAATGTGGTATTGCCTTTTTATTTACGCAGGTCTTAGTGTTTCTCGGTAGCATTTTAAAGTTTTCTTCACATAGATTTTTACTATGTTTTTCTGTGGTACCAAAGACCTCCAAATCTCAGTGACTTGTGACAACAAAGGTTTACTCAGTCATGTTACCTGCTGCCTGTGGAGGTCAGCAGCAGCTCTGTTTCTGTTTCATATATCCTCTCATTCTAGGAACTAGGCTGAGAGAAATGCCATTTTCATGGCCAGATGTAGGGTGCAAGAGAGGCCTGTTGGAGACATGGGATGGCTCATGAATCTTTCGCTCACAATCCATTGGCCAAAGAAAGTCACATGGCCAAGCCCAACATCAGTGGGTTAAGGTTACATGTACTTATCACTCAGGAGGTAATAAAAGTCACATGGCAAAGGGCAGGGATATATAGCACGGGGCAGGGAGGTGTGGGGTAGCTTGAGTAACAGAACAACCTGCCATAATGTTGTCAAGATTTAGATCATATGGAAGTGTAGAAAGAAAAAAGTAGTTCTTTCCCGCTACCTAGAGACAACCACTGTTAACAGTTTATAGATCCTTCTAGCCCTTTTTCTATAAACATACAAATGTACATGCATGTATATAAGTATCCATAAATATTTATACATCCACATACAGTTCTTTTTCTGAAAATCGGATGTTCATATTATAGTTTGATAGTGTTCTGCATTTTGCTTTGCTTTTTTTTTTTTAAATCTAATATTTGAACATCTTTCATGGCAAGAAACTTAGCTTCCTCATTCCTTCTAAGAGTTGCTTTACTTTCCTTTGACTAGACGAATCATTGTTTACCGCATCTCCTAACATTGGACCATAGTTTGGCCCTTTAATTACTGGGTCATTGGGAAAGTCATGGCGCATTTTTGCATTGGAAAACATAGAAAAATACATCATGACTTTGCCGACGACCCAGTATTTTCAGCCATGATGTGGTGGACATCTTTGTGTGTAGACCACTCTGCCCTGTGTGAGCATCGCTGTGGTCCGTGGAGCAAGCTTTAGACAGATGTGAGCTGGTCCTTCACTCCTTGCCCATTCTTGGTCACCTCCATGTTCACCCCAAACTCAGGTCCAAAAGGTGTGATCAATGACTGGCGCCGTTTCAAACAGTTGGAGACAGAGCAAAAGGAGGAGCAATGCCGGGAGATGGAAAGGCTGATCAAGAAACTGTCAATGACCTGCAGATCCCATCTGGACGAAGAGGAGGAGCAACGGAAGCAGAAGGACCTCCAGGAGAAGATCAGTGGGAAGGTAATTCGCAGCATCCGGGCTTTTCTCAGAAGCTGATGGAACTGGGGGTTTGTGATTCAGGAGGTCTAGGATGTTTGATTTGGCTTCCAAGAAGCTATGCAATGTTTGAGTCATGTCATCACTCAAACATACCTGGGTTTGAATCTCAGCTCTGCCACTAGTGACCGTGGGGACGTCTTTTCCATTCTGAATTGGGCTTGTCATTGGTTAAATGGGGTCAGTATTCCTACCTCACAGGGTGGGTACAATGCCCATTACAGTGCTTGGCCCATTGGAAGTGCTCAGTAAATGTGAGTTGCCTGTCCTTTATTGAACTCTTACCTTGGGCCTGAAATAACCCTCTGAGGTTGGTGTTTTATCTCCATTTCTTAGATGATGAAACCAGTGCTTAGTGATGGGAGGGGACTTGCTAAAGGTCGTGCACCTAGTAAAAGCTAATAGAAACTAGGATTCTAACCCAGATTTCTCTGCTTTTTCCATGATGTTGCTATTTCACTGGAAGCCTGTTTATGAGAATTTATTGTAATGAAGCAATACAATAGAGGCAGTCAGACACTCTGGAAGATTTATGGAACTAGGTTCCTGACTCTCTTCCCAGTATCAAAAGAACCCACTATTTCCCCCCATGCCCTCTGACCACGGGTAAATGTTTAGGAGCGCCTGAGATCATTAGGATATGGCCCAAAGCAGCTGTTGGCTGGGAAAACCAGCCAGCATTAGGGAGCAGATAAGAGGATTAAGTGAGGAGCCATTCACCTTGACCAGGAGGAGGATTTCAGGGCATTAGACTCAAAAATTGTAACAGGTCAGAAAGAGCCACTTTGGTGGGCCGAGGTAGCGTGGAGAGCTCTGACCTGGGATGTAGATTGGGAATGATACGTAAAACAGTGAATTCAAAATGGCGCTGGCTATGATGCAGTACATCTCTTCTGATCCAGTGTGGTCCCCCAGCCTCCACCTTCTAATCAGTGCCAGGCGAGGCAGAAGAACTGGGCCCTGTTGCAGGAGCAGGGCTGTCTTGCCAGCAGCACTAAGGTGGGAGAAGGAAGACACTTTTGTAACCTAAGCTGGCTGCAGGGAAATGTGCCCACCGCTCACAGTGCTTCCTTATGTCGAGGTGAGAGACCAGATGAAGCAACACGTCTCGTGATCCTATGAGGCAGCCTTGAAGGCTCTCCCTGGCCTGCTGAGTTGTCTGCAGAAGAGAACTGGAAACTGCCGGAGTGCCAGAATTAGGGGAGTGGTTAATCAAAACATGCACATGATGTATAATTCTATAAACACTATTTGAAAACATGAAATATTTATGATACACTAATGCTAAGTGACAAAAGCAGGTTATAGCTTAATTGGCACACTCACAGCTGCTGTTATTAAAGCAGAATCCATTTCAGCATGTGACTTTGTGTGGGAGATGAGTGTTGTGCAGGGCAGGGGTTATGAGTGTTCTTTTTAGAGTTCCTTAATGTTGTCTTTGAAGTGGTCTTTTCAACAAAAACAAAACAGTGGATAATAAAAGGATTAATCCATTGTCAAGACTGAGAAAAAGAAAAAAGCTCAGTAAGTGGTATTATCTGAGACTGCCTATTTGAATTAAGAAGCAACATTGATAGAGGAGTTAAAAGCCTGGGGTTTTTTTTTAAATCTCGATAATTGGAATCCTAGTCTTATGCTCATTACCCTGTGAACTTGTGCACATAATCTCAAGTCTTGGAACCTCATTCGTAAAGGGGGGGTAATAAAGGTCCCCTCCCAATGGGCTTGGCATCAGAATTCAGTGAGATACAGTGCATACAGAGCGCTTGGCGGGGTGCCGCCTGTGTCGTAAGTATGCGGTACACATCAGCTGGTGTCACAAGTGTCCCATTTGTGTTTCTTATGCTCACTTGCTGGTCCTCCTTCAGATGACCCTGAAGGAGTTTGCCGTGGTGAATGAGGACCAAGACGACGAAGCGTTTCTGCAGCAGTACCGGAAGCAGAGAATGGAAGAGATGCGGCAGCACCTTCACAAGGGGCCCCAATTCAGGCAGGTTTTTGAGATCCCCAGTGGAGAAGGGTTTTTGGAAATGATTGATAAAGAACAGAAAAGCACCCTCATCATGGTCCATATCTATGAGGACGGCATCCCGGGGACCGACGCCATGCATGGCTGCATGATCTGCCTTGCTGCAGAGTACCCAGCTGTCAAGTTCTGCCGCGTGAAGAGCTCGGTTATCGGAGCCAGCAGTCGGTTCACCAGCAATGCCCTTCCCGCCCTGCTGATCTACAAGGGGGGCGAATTGATTGGCAATTTTGTTCGAGTCACTGACCAGCTGGGGGAAGATTTCTTTGCCGTGGACCTTGAAGCTTTTCTGCAGGAATTTGGATTGCTCCCAGAAAAGGAAGGCTTGGTGCTGACGTCCGTGCGTAACTCTGCCACCTATCACAGTGAGGATAGCGATTTGGAAATAGATTGAACTGATAATCTTATGGCATGGATTTCTCATTGTTTGGGCTGGAAGGCACATGTCTGTGTGTTTATTTTTGTTCCTTCCTGTGTCTGCTGGCTTTGCAGCTGTTCTTTGTAGTCCCTTTTATCATATGTGGAGTCAAGAAATTCTCAGATTAAATCAGAATGCTGAATCACCTTGTGACTAGCCATAAAGTGACTTAAAGTTGTATAAACAGGAAGCTAGGCTTTTGAACGGTTTACTTAAAATTCTCCAGCATGACATCCTTGTTGTTGTTTCCAGTCAATATTTACATGGCATCCTAAAGACAGTGTCCTGGAAATTGTCTTCAGATGATCTCCGAGGCCTCTGCCAGGTCTGGGAGTAGAATTCTATGGTTAATTTGTTATTTGCAACATAAATAATGCACTTCCTTCATCAGATGATTGTCAATTATATTTACTTGTAATCAGATCCATAGTCCAAGAAGGAAGTTAAATTGTTCCCCCTAGACCCTGTTCTCTATTGGAGTCTTGTTTTAAGATTCCAGATGACGTGCATTTGCCCCATCAAGCGGGGTGACCCCTGCTGCTGGAGTCAGTGTTCCCCTCAAGCATTATTAAGTCTAGAGTAGGAGGAAAGATTGATGCTGACTGTCCCGTTGATGCTGGGAGACCAGTTTGACTTACAAATGAGAGCTGGGTGGAGCTGGCAAGTCTTGTTAGAGGAGGCTCTTTCAGTACCATAATCCTCATCTCTTTCGCTGTTGTCTCTCTTTTATGTAACAAGGTATTTTTCTGTGTAATGTAGCTTTTAAAAAAAAAACTCTCTTTCCAAAATGTTTTCTTTGTAGATGTAGATGTTTTGCTTGTTGTTAAATAAAACAATGGGATCATTCTGAGCATACTGTTTTATAGTATGGTCAACCAATAGAACAAGCTTGTTTTCATGTTATGAGATACTCTTATACAACATTTTTTAAATGGCTGTTGCTATTCCATCGTATAGGTGTGCTGTAATTTGCTTGGCAGTTGTCTCTTAAAAAGAAAAACAGCACAGACTTTTTATTACAGAAGTAATAATGTTCATTATAGAAAATAAAAAAAATTATTAAGCTAAACAGTGATTTGAAAAGCCTTATAATTCTACCAACCAAAAATAATCCTCATTATCATTTTTAGAAGTATCTTTCTAATTTTTTCTGTGTATTTATAATGGTTATTTGCTTTTCTTTCCTCTTGTTTTTTTTTACTTTTGAAAATGTACATTTTAGTGTTGAGGAAAATGTAATCAGGAATTAAATATTAGCTTTAAAATCCACAGTTTTACTTTTCCTGGCTACTTAGGAATTGACTGACTATAGAACGGTCTTGAAAGTATCTGTTGTAGTTAATTAAGAAAAAGAAAGTGCATGGTTTTCTGATTAAAAAAGCTCATTGTAAAAGTGTGGAAAGTACAGAAAATTATTAGAAGCAGATAAAACTGTTGTCAATGTTCTAGTTTATTTTCTTGCAGTCTTTTTTCAGTATTTTTAATTACATTGAGAGCTTACTACATTTAGTTATGTGTTCTATTTTATTTAATATAAATACTTTGACATGTTATAAAAATTTTAAATAAATAATTTTTAATGGCTTTATAATGTTTCATCATTTAGATATACCATGATTTATTTAACCAGTCCCTTCATATTGGATATTTAGAGTCACTGGTTTTATTTGTTTTCTTTTCTTTTTTTTTTTTTTTAAGATTTTATTAGGGAATTGGGGGAAGGGGAACACTGTTGGGGAATTGGGGAAGGGAAACAGACAAGTTGCTGTCCTTCGATCTTAGTTGTGGAGGGCGCAGCTAGCTCAGCTCCAAGTCCAGTCGCCATCCGGCCACCCGTTGGCAGCTTGCGGCCACTTAGCTCAAGGTGCCGTGTTTAAGCCTAGTTGCGGGTAGGCATAGCCCACCATCCCATGCAGGAGTTGAACCGTCAATCTTGTTGTTAGGAGCACATGTTCTCACCAGCAGTGCTATCCTGCCGCCAGTTGGCAGCTCAGCTTGGGCGCAGCTCACTGGCCCATGTGGGAATCGAACCAGCAACCCTGTTGCTCAGCGCTCGCGCTCTTAACCATCTGAGCCACTCGGCTGGCCCAAAGTTCCCTGTGTTTTGCTAAAACAGTTAGCAACTGTATTTTGGGCCATATTTTTAATTATTCTCTTGGTATGGATTTCTAGAAGAGGAATCTTTGGGTAATAGGAACATTTAAAAAATAGCTTCTACAAGCCACCTTTTCTCATTGGAAATGAAAATATATTATGATGCCACAGAACCTTGACTTGGCCTTTCAAGAATGGAACTAATAGAGTAAAGTGAGCAGACATGGAATGAGGAAATCCTAGTATTTAATCTCCAACAGCACAGGCTTTGGAGCCAGACCAAGGTTCAAATCCTGCCTGTCACTAGAGGTGTAGCTTCCAGTGAGGCACCTCGTCTTCCTGAGGCCCAGTTTCCTCACTTTTGTAATGGGAACAACCATACCTGTTTATGGGTGGCTCTGCATCCGCTTCACTGAGGAGCTTGTAAGAAACGCACCTTCTCAGGCCTCACCCTGGACCTACTGCAGCAGAAATTCTGGGAGTGGCCCACTTCTTACAAGCTCTCCACATTCAAGTTTCAGAATCCTATGGATTAAGGTGAGTGACAGCATCTGTCACAAAACAAGGGTTCACTTCTGTTGGTTTCCTTTTTCTTTATAGAGTCAGGGAGGGAAGGAGTTAAAGAAGGAGGTGCTCACTTCTCTCCCTCTTTACTCTCCTTGTTAGTCATGGGGTTGGGGGAAGGAAGGAGAAACAATACTTGTCTGTGACAAACTGTCCCAGTAGTTTTCCACATTTCACTTTCTGGAATGAGAGCCCTGTTAAGGCACGGGCTTTGTTTTCCTCCGTGTGTGTGGTATAACCAGGCTTCGCTCTGGCAATAGGCTGACGTGTACACCGGCTTTGTGGGCAAGGTGCTGATTCCCCCTGTGCCTCAGTTGCCTCATCTGTGAAATGGGGATGAGTAACATGAGTCTTCATATATAATACTTACAACATAGTCGGCCTTCAAGTAAGTACTATCTGTTTTTGTTGTCTCCAGTGCCCACACCTGTGCCCGGAACTTGGTAAGGAATCTAAAAATTTAACGAACATACCGGTTCACTGAATGCCACGTCCTCTTGAGGTAGGAAGCAGTAACTTTTCAAAGCTGATGAAACTACAACTTTGCAGGGTTAAGTGACTAATCGAAGTTGTAGAGCCAGTGATCAGGGCCAGGATTTGAAGGCCGGTCTGTCTAGTTCCAGAATTTGTATTTCTGTGATGTCATGTGGTTGGTGGAGAAAGCAAAATGATTGACAATATGATGAAGAGTTATGTTTAAAAAGGAAGAAAAAAAAAAAGGTAGTGGAAATAGTTTTCTTCCTTTGGAGGAAGAAAACAAGGGAGAGAATTTTAAGAAGAGAGCACAAGGAGCTGAGCTGGGTGGAGCCCTGGGTCTCCTGGTCCTGCCTGTGTTTCACGCCAGAACCTCTCCCCTCTGGACTGTGGCTGTGACCCACAACTGTCCCCACTAAAGGGTCCCACCCTTTTCCTGCCATGACCCCACCCAAACCGCACCCCAACCACACCGCCACCCACTTCCCACTGCAGGTGGCAGTGATCGGGAGAATAGTGAGCATGAACTCTAGCTTTCGGTAACCAGCTGTGAGCCCTCAGACAAGTCTCTCTTTGGGACTCAGTTTTGCCATTTGTAAAATGAAGGGTTGAATGAGATGATCTTTGAAGACCCTTCAGGGTCTTAAGTTTTATGAATCAACACATTTTTGAAAATTCGCCTTTATTTTGAAAACCCACAGGAAAATTGAGAATATTAATTGCAATTAACACCTGTATACCCTTCACATAGCTTCATCAATAGTTAACATTTTGCTACATTTGCTGTACCTGCTTTTTGTGGAACCATTTAAAAGTAAGTTGCAGACATCTTGACTTTGCTGCTAAACACTTGGCTGCATCTCCTAAGAATAAGGCCACTCTCCATCATAACCACAATACCACCATTACACCCAAGCAAAGGAATGATAACTCAACAATATCCAAAATAAAGGCCATATTCAATTTCCCCTACGTGTTTCCAAAATTACTTGTTTATTTTTAAATCCAGGATCCAATCAAGATTCACACACATTGTGTTTTTGTCACTTGAGTCTCTTTTAAGGTAGAACAGTCTCCTTACCTTTGTTTTTGTTTTTCATGTCAGTGGCTTTTTAAAGAGTCCAGGCCAATTGTCTTCTGGAATGCCCACATTCTGATTTTTGTGTCCTCATTTTTTACAGTATTTTGACCAGAAGTGATGTTGCCTAGTTCTTACTACATCAAGTCAGGGATACCTGCTGTCAGCTCAGTGATCCTAGGACCATGTTTCCCTGAAAATAAGACCGGGTCTTATATTAATTTTTGCTCCAACAATCTACATTTATTCATGTACAAAAATCTACATTTATTCAAACAGTCAAGTCTGGCTGACGATCTTAACTGGGGCTTATTTTGGGGTAGGGCTTATATTACAAGCATCCTGAAAAATCATGCTAGGGCTTATTTTCCACTTAGGTATTATTTTCAGGGAAACACGGGATTAATCACCTGGTTAAGGTGTAAATGCCAGATCTCCATGTTGTAAAATTATTTTCCTCTTTGTAATCTGTGCTGTGATACTTGGAGACTCTGTAAGTATCTTTTTTCCCCCAAACCTTTCAGCTAACAGCTTGAGTATATATTGATCCTTGCCTGAGGTAAATTATTACATTAGTGATTTTCTAATTTTATCATTTCTTTTGCAGTTATTACCTGGCAATCTTCTGCAATGTAGAGCCCTATCTTCCCCCTCCCCTCTCTCAGTATCACTGTGGACTTACAGATTTTTATAAATTCAAGGTTTATTCCATTTTTTTTTGGGGGGGGGAGTTGCTTTTGGCCAGTGGTAGCCTTTTAAAGCCAATTCCTGTATCCTTTTGAGATGAACCATTAGTCTTCAGGCCCTTCCTTTCCTTCTGGCCTAAGATGTTCCAGAATCGTGTGGTTCTTCTTTGTTTAGGGCTTGGAATTAACTTTTTTTTCCCAGAAGCCCTGGTTCCTTTTATGGAGAATGGCATTTAGAACTAAAACCTAGGTGCTGTGTGTGCTTATTGCTACTAGGCCTTTTTAGTGGACAGAGCTGGGGAAAAATATTTTTTTTTAATTATGAGTTCATATTGATATTTCTAATGAAAACAATTCCCAACATCTGTATGTTTACTAATTTTTATTTTCATATAGTACATAGTAGTTTCATAATTTTGCCCATGCCACAAATAATAACAACTCTAAAAATTGCAAGATTTTATTACAGTTCTTTTGTTTTCTTGTTTGTGTCTTTGTTTTTAGAATGTATCTTGTTAAGAATAAAGTATTGAATTAAAAAATCATTTGCACTTCAAGGGGTAAAAAGTATAACTATTGCACTGTAAAGCTGAAACTAATTCTAAAAAATGTGTATTTCATAATAAAAAATAATTAAAAGAAAAAAAAATTCTCAAAAGGTCATATAACATATGACTCAACTTACAGAACATTCTTGAAATGATTGCATTATATAGATGGAGTACAAATTAGTGGTTGCCAGCAGCTGGGAATGGTTGTGGGAGAGGGGTGGGTATGACTATAAAGGTTAGCATGAGAAAGGTCTTTTGGGTGATGGAATCGTTCTCTGTTTTGATTTGGTGGTGGGTCTACGAACCTATGTGTGATAAAAAAATATATAGAACTATATGCACACATTTGTAACAATGTCAATTCCTTGTTTTGGTATTGTACTATAGTTATATAAGATGCAACCATTGGGGAAAACTGGGTGAAAAGTATGTGGGACCTCTCTGTACTATCTTTGCAACTTGTGAATCTGTAATCATATTTCAAAATAAAAAGCCTTAATAAAAGAAAAAAATAATAAAATAAAAAATCATTTGAATTAACTTTTCTTGTGTGGTTACATTATCGGCTTGACATAGAAGCAGATTCATTTATTTCTGTGTGATTCAATTTTCAGGTTTGCTTTTATTCATCTGTTTTAATTTAACTTTTTGAACATGTGAAACATTTACCTAGTTTGAAAGCCAACACTATATATAAAGGTATCCTCAGAGCAGTTCACTCCTATTTTTATTCCTTCCAGCCCTAGAATTTATGTTTGATTGTGTGAATGACCGTGGGTCTCCCAAATGAGGAAAATCATAGTAACTCTCAGGGGGTTGCTACAAGGATTCATCCAATGAGCTACAGTTCTCAGCCTGGTGTGGCGCATAGTAAACATTCCACAAATGTCATCTATTTACTTCCTATCCGTTCCCCACAAAGCCTTGAGTCTACTTTTCCAAAAATGAGCCTTATCTAAGACATTGCCTCCCCCTCTGCCCCGACTGCTTGCGAAAATCCTATTTATTCTCCAAAACTCAGTTTAAATCTCACATCCTCCCTTAAACCTTTCTTGTCTCTTCAGAAAGAGGCAGCCATCCCAGTGTGTGAACGCCTGCAGGTTAAGGTGACGTTGGTTAAGAAATGTTTTGAGGGCT